TCTATCTATCTATCTATCTATCTATCTATCTATCTATCTATCTATCTATCTATCTATCTATCTATCTATCTATCTAGCTAGCTAGCTAGCTATCCATCCACTTTTCTTTCTCTTTCTTTCTTTCTTTCTTTCTTTCTTTCTTTCTTTCTTTCTTCCTTCCTTCCTTCCTTCCCCTCTTTCTTTTCTTCTCTCATCTATCTATCTATCTATCTATCTATCTATCTATCTATCTATCTATCTATCTATCTATCTATCTATCTATCTATCTATCCATCCATCTAGCTATCTATAGCTAGCTATCTAGCTATCCATCCACTTTCCTTCCTTCCTTCCTTCCTTCCTTCCTGCCTGCCTGCCTGCCTGCCTGCCTTCCTTCCTTCCTTCCTTCCTTCCTTCCTTCCTTCCTTCCTTCCTTCCTTCCTTCCTTCCTTTTTCTTCCTTCCTTCCTTCCTTTTTCTTTTCTTTCTCAGCCATCTCCCCTACAAGGTGACCCAGGGATCTTTTTTACCTTTGAGATTTCCTTGTGGTCTCCCCTCCAAGGAACACTCAGCTACATTAGTGCCACCTAGCCCTTGGAACAGAATCAGTGGGGCAGACGCCCGCGCTTGCAGTCAGCGTGGGGGCATTTCATCGCCTGGCTCCTGGCCACCCGCTTTGTGACTCAACCGGCCCCTGGCAGAAGCCCTGGAGCTCTGTCTCTCTCCCTTGTTTTTTCCGTGGCTGCCTTCCCTCTCGCCTGGCGCTTACCTGTGTAAACAAAACGCCCGGGGGCTCCTTTGCAAAACTGCTTCGACTTGTAGGAGAGCGTCACCTCCACCACGCCGGGGATGTGCCGGGGCGGCGTCTGGACCCGGATGGCATGTGGCGTGATCAACTGTTACGGGGAGAAGAGGACGGTCAGACCAGGAGGGGAAGCTTCGCGATAAGGAAAGGGGTTGGGCCCAGAGAAGCCATGAATCTTGGAGGCTGGTAGCCATCTCCTTCTCCTCTTCCTCCTCCTGCGTCCCTTCTCCTCCTCATCTTCTTCCTCTTCCTTCTCCTTCTCCTTCTCCTCCTATATCCTTTCTCCTTCTCCTTTTTCTCTTGTTTCTCCCCTTCCTTCTCTCCTTCTCCTTCCGTATTTCTTCTCTTCTTCCTCTCCTTTGTTCTCTCCCTCTTCCTCCTCCTCCATCTCTTCTCCCTCTTCCTTCCTTCCTTCCTTCCTTCCTTCCTTCCTTCCTTCCTTCCTTCCTTCCTTCCTTCCCTTTCTCCTCCTCCTCCTCCTCCTTCCCCATCCATGGGGTTTATTGTCCCTCACTTTAGGTCACACTTCTCCCTAGACCAGGGGTAGGCAACCTTGGCTCTTTTATGACTCGAGGACTTCAACTCCCAGAATTCCTCAGCCAGCATGGCTCCGCTTAGAAACTTCTCCCTTTCCCCTCAGCATGGTTGGCTCGGGAATTCTGGGAGTTGAAGTCCACCAGTCATAAAAGAGCCGAGGTTGCCTACCCCTGGCCTAGGGCCTAGGCCGCTTTATGACTCGTGGACTTCAACTCCCAGAATTCCTGAGCCAGCAGGGCTCAGCTTGGAAACCTCTCCCTTTCCCCTCAGCACGGCTGGCTCAGGAATTCTGGGAGTTGAAGTCCACAAGTCATAAAAGAGCCAAGGTTGCCTACCTCTGGCCTAGGCCTAGGCCCCTTCATGACTGGTGGACTTCAACTCCCAGAATTCCTGAGCCAGCATGGCTCAGCTTGGAAACCTCTCCCTTTCCCCTCAGCACAGTTGGCTCAGGAATTCTGGGAGTTGAAGTCCACAAGTCATAAAAGAGCCAAGGTTGCCTACCTCTGGCCTAGGCCGCTTTCTGACTCGTGGACTTCAACTCCCAGAATTCCTGAGCCAGCATGGGGGAACTATGTCCCCTTCATGACTCGGGGACTTCAACTCCCAGAATTCCCCAGCGAGCATGGGGGAACTATGACCCCTTCATGACTTGCGGACTTCAACTCCCAGAATTCCTGAGCCGGCATGGCTCTGCTTGGAAACCTCTCCCTTTCCCCTCAGCATGACTGGCTGAGGAATTCTGGGAGTTGAAGTCCACAAGTCATGAGGGGGCCATAGTTCCCCCATGCTGGCTCAGGAATTCTGGGAGTTGAAGTCCACGAGTCAGAAAGCGGCCTAGGCCTAGGCCAGAGGTAGGCAACCTTGGCTCTTTTATGACTCCTGGACTTCAACTCCCAGAATTCCTGAGGCAGCCATGCTGAGGAGAAAGGGAAAGGTTTCCAAGCTGAGCCAGGCTGGCTGAGGAATTCTGGGAGTTGAAGTCCACGAGTCATAAAGCGGCCTAGGCCAAGGCCAGAGGTAGGCAACCTTGGCTCTTTTATGACTGGTGGACTTCAACTCCCAGAATTCCTGAGCCAGCATGGCTCAGCTTGGAAGCCTCTCCCTTTCCCCTCAACATGGCTGGCTCAGGAATTCTGGGAGTTGAAGTCCATGAGTCATAAAAGAGCCAAGCTTGCCTACCCCTGGCCTAGACTCTCCCTCCTGGCCACTCCACCTGGGAAAGACTCCGTAGATAAGGAACCACAGCAGTGGCGCAGAGAAATTTCCTTTCAGGAGGTGGAGAA